AACGATAAAATTACCCCGACCATATCAGTCCGATTGTCGCCATTATTCTATTGGGGCCCAGAAATCACGGTCAGAGTGTATGGTTGAGGCGATGGCCCGACTAGAGAAGCACTCGTGCGGACACATCCGGTACTGGAGTTGGACTAAATTGGTAGCCAATGAGAGCATACGAGACATTGTTAATCGTATGAACACATTGGACTGTTATGTAAAACCAGTCTATACGGCATTGCACAGGGAGTGTAAAATTGGGTGCAGTTATCACGAGATAGATATGTCGTGGAGTGAATCAGATTTCCATAAATTTCCAACCGTGTTTAATTTCAAATTAATTGGTTTTGCATATAATGGCTACGTAACAATGGTGTGGCGACAGATACCCAAAATGTCAATAGTAGACTACCTGTCCTCTGTGGGCGGCCTAATGGGCATGTATTTAGGTCTAAGTGTTTACTCAACCCTAACATTACTAATCGCAAAATTAACCAAACCATTCAAATTGACCAGTGTCGTTAAACGCAAGATTTCACTTAAAATAGTGTTTCATGTTTTAGCCGCTAATATATGCGTTATGTTCATGGCAATACAGGTGTCACAAATACACCAAGATTACACCAATTACAATGTTAAATCTAATATTGAAGTGAGTAATACTATACGCATACCTTCGTTAGTATTTATAATTTACACAAACGATTTCACAGTACAAAAGGTTGCCCATGGTCGTAATGGTGACGTAACCAATTCACACTGGGAATTTAATAACATGTACTTAAACACTTTACGCGCAAACAATCTATCACTATTCAGGCGTCAAATATACGACTATAACAAAACTGTAAAGGGGTGTCATTTTAAATTCGAGCATGGTGAACGGGTTCAATGTCCCAAGCACAATACGGTTCTCGCTTTTAACACAAGGAATCAATCGTTTATTTTTAGCACGTTTTTTATGCGCGAGTCCGGCGTTTCCGACACATTGGCCGCAAAACTATTGGGCAATAAATTTCGGCGAATGGTCATCGATATTGAAAGCGATAAGATAAGGCTACTTCTCATGGCTAATTTAGGCGGATGGCACCAAAGGACCAGTTTAAATGTAAACACCGAGTATAACGTGATGTTTACGGGACAAACATTTGTACAATTGAAACGCCCGTCATTTGCCTGTCTGTCCGATACGATCGCCGCCGACAACGTGTTTGTCAACGATTGGCGGCGAATCGCGTGCATTAAGCGCCGGCTGTACGCCATTCACGGCTGTTATCCCGTGTATAACAGCTATTATTCGTTAGATATTGAAACGGATATCGTGCGCTCCGGGCGGCGATTTTGCACCAATTCAAGTCAGGCGCCCAATCAAACTGAATCATTGGCAATAAACGAGCATTGTCGTAAAATTAACCTACACTCGTGCCTGTATCGACTTACGCGAACTTACCCTGTTAAAACACGCTCAGGCCTGCCCGGATACACCAGGGTTAATCTGATTCCTAATTATTATTTTGAGCCAATTATTACCGAACAGTTAGCCATGGATTTGATGGATATCTGGTATAATACGGGCGGTACTATTGGTCTGTGGATCGGACTATCGGTGCTCTCAATACCCGAATACGCTTTTCTTGTATTTCGAAAATTAAAATTAATTGTAAATTCGTTTATAAATAAGTTATAATATATGACATTATTATAACAATTATTTTATTATAATATAAATTATATATTTTAAACACTCATTGAAAGTGTGGGCAAAAAATGATATAAAATTATATCAGTTTATCTCCTTAAACATTAAATAAATAGGCATTACCATAGTATTCACTCATTACTTTATTAATGAGTAATATTGGTAATTATTGAACAGTATAGTTAAAATAAGTAATCTATGGTAATGCCCATTCATTCAATGTTTAAGGAGATAAACAGATATAACTTCTACTTACACATACATGTATGTGTCAATAGATATCAGTCCTGTTGTCAACACTTTGTGTTGGCATTGAATGTAAATATTACGACATTTTGGGCATAAAAACGCAATTCATTCAAACAATCACTTCATTTGATCCCAAGATATGACACAACAGATGAAGATATCAGTTGTCAACACAGATGACGGCAATGAAGACAACATTCAACACGTATTTGACAAACAATTCACTGTTTATTGAGTTTTAATTGTTTTTGTTTTACATTTTAATCAAAGACTTACGCGAAGGACTCAATGGACAGATTCGGTGATGACATGTGTGGACTCATATTATCCTATCTCTCACTCGAAGATCGGTTTCGATGCGAATGTGTGTCCAAACAGTTCCGGAGGACAGTCTTCGGGAGTGTTATCGACATCACTCTCGGAGAAGTAATTCAGAGATTACTGAATGCGAAGAGAAGTGACGTTCAATTGTTGGCCACAATTGCCATAAAGTGTGCAAACATTGAGTGCATTGACTGCCGAGGAATAACGTGGGAATATGAAGAACACATTCCGGAAGTGTTGAACACATTTCGAGACAATTGCCGGCATTTAAGGGAAATATATTGTAATTTGACGGCAAATATTGTGCAAACAATGCCATCGTTGGGACCTCTGGTCACACGAATCAGTGGTATTGACTACAATACAGACAGTGAAGCGCTGAATCAATTCGACCAATTGTCACAATTAAGGGTCCATTCATTTCACTATATCTTCAATAACAACCAATCGTTTGCCAAAAATGTGCATAAAATTGAATTACTATTTTATTCACACTTTCATAACAACTTCTGGTCTGCATTCGTGGCACAGAATCAGTCGCTCCAGAGTTTGGTCGCAAAGAATTGCGATTTTAGTTCTCCGGAATCGGTATCCGAAATGTGCGGACAATTGTCACGATTAACACAATTACGGGAACTGACACTCGGATTGAATTTGGGATATATGAACGACCAGTACTCAACGGTCGACCAATGTTTGCTTACAATTGGCCAGAATTGCCGTCAATTGCAAAGATTGTCTCTCAAGTGGTACTCGTCGTCACCGCCTTTATTTCAACACCAGATATCATTGGATTCTTTGGCAGTTTATCACAGATTACAACGATTACGTTTAGAGCTCATTGTGCTAAACGATGACCTGTTGTTGGATCCGTTGAGACACTGCAAGAGATTAACGCATTTAGAGTTGGATTTATTTAATATAAAACCAAATGTGTTGAATGATATGCACATAAAGTGTCCGCGACTTCAGTATCTATTCATTCATGGTGTTAATAACCCGATAGACACCGAGTGTTTGTCACACATCTCAAGACTACCGGCGCTGCAAATGCTTGTCATTGAATGCAATGCAAGTAATGATCTCTCGGATAATGATTTCAATGATCTGTTTGCCAAAAGTCTGAAACTAAAAAGCATTAAAATCTTTCAAAACGCGATTCTAATAAATTTTTGGCGTAAAAATTATTCTAGTATTTTTATACGTAACTAGAGGTTTTCAGATAAACACTACCCCTCCCCCCCTCAACCCGGTCCTCTCCGGTATGAAAGTATCAATAATTATTTGCAAAACTAAAATAAAATTTATAATTTTGTTACTCAATGTGAAAATGTTTTGTTTCAATGAACACAACTTTCTGTCTATTGATGTTTTTTAACTTTTAATTCTCTCCAGTGTTAGCACTGCTTAGCTTATCAAACAATTATATGGATTTATTTTCTATGTTAGCATTTTGTTTGTATTCTGTTATACAATAGAAATATATTAATTGAAAAATTATTTTAATTATAAAATTTATAATTATCAGAAAATCATTTCTGTCATTTAAAATAAATATAACACTTATTTAGTGAAATGGTTTGTAAACATGTTTTATTATAACTTGTGACTTATACTATATTTTAAATTCATTATTCATTCTGAATAAAATGTTCAAACAAAATGTAAAATTTTGTAATCTCATTTATTATATTAAATTTTACACATCGAAATAATTTTTATCATAGTTAATTTATATTAACTTTTGGCAGCAAAATAGTTGCAACTTTATAACAAATATTTTGTCCAACCTTGAATATCATAGTCTAGTTTTATAAATCTAATTGCACAATAAATAATATATTAAAAATTAGCAAAATAATTTAATACAACAAAATATTGTCACCCTTTCCTGCATTTGACTTTAAATAATACAATTACATTTTACAATGTCAGCATTTACATCCTGATACATTTGATGCTTATGATAGTTGTATTATATTTTCAGTGAATAGCTTTGAATAACAAAAACTATAAATACTGAACTGTAATAACATTTAATTAGAAATCTCAATAAAATCATCATGAAGAATATTATTTTAGTTGTGACATTTTTACTAATTAATGTTTGCATTATAAATGCCCAAGGTAATTATTGCTAATTGTGTCATAAAAATTAATATAGTTGAATGTTTGAAACCATATCATAATACTGTATAAGTAATATTATGATAAACAAAGTAATCACTTATTTTAAATTTATTTAAACAAGGTGAATCCTCCGAGGAACCCGTGTGCGACTCAAATGGGTTTTACACCAAATGCGATACAGCATGCCCGATAACATGCCAAAATTACCTTAATCCACCTAAATTTTGCACATTTAATTGTGTTAAACGTTGCGCCTGTAACCAAGGTTATATTAAAGAATCGATTGGTAGTATACGATGTGTTTTACCACAAAATTGTCCTGGTACAATAAAGGTTTAAGACTGGTTTGATTTATAAATTATGAAATAAATTTTTGGTAATTAATTTATGTTAAACAGTTATTATAAAACATTTATATGTAATACATTTTATTATAAATTACAACTTATGATAATAATTGTTACAGAATAATTTTTAAATAAAAATATATGTTAACTCAATAAATTATTATTAATATTAAACTTGGATTGCAAGCAAACTTACTCAATAATTTATTAATTGTTTACCACAATTACTTGGTTATAATTAAATGTTACAAAAAAGTTTACAATTTAGGCAAACCGGCGCTAATGTTCTGCTCAATACTGCACTCATTAATACCCCGACGTATTTTGAAAAACCCATGATCGCCCCACTTTGGCCCAAACGAGTTGGCCACCAGCCAGTAGTCTACACCCGACTCGCGGCCCCATCCTATGATTTTAATTACATGTTGACCAATTGGTCTATCGGTCACGCGGTGGTAAACGCCGGACTTGTAATACTCTAAATCTTCCCACCACTACAAATAAACAATGAATTAAATTTAACAATATGCAATTTGGCTAAACTTAAAATTATAATTATAACAATAAACCATCGTGGGTCAATGTTGGCCACGAGTGTCAATTTCGCCACATGTACTTTATAAACAAAACATCATAACACCTATTATTTTTTTATTTGAAATTGACCTTTTGAGACATACTGCAATAAACAATTCACCATTGTATAGTAAATAAATGTACATACATCAAATATTGCAACAACGGGACCATTAGTCATGATATCTCGTTGAACTTCACGATTATTATTACGATAGCCGTAGACAACAGAGCCATAGTATTTGTCGTTGGCATACGTCTTGTTATAGCCATCTATACAGGTGGATTCGCACCATGGTGCCGGTTTGTAAACGACCGGGGTGTGATCGCTGGGAGGTATTGTGTAGGGTTTGCAACCCCGATGACTGTCATAGTCGCCTCCCGTAACCAACCCATTGATGATATAGTGAAACCAGACGCGCACCGGACTGTTGCCGATAATACAGCCGCCGATGTGTCCGCACGTCAACAGGTCTTCGAGCGAAATCTCCGGCTGTTGTTTACCGCCCGACGCGATGCATATCCGGTCGGATATGGCCGCCACCGTAGCGATGGCCCAACACGACCCTGGTCAAAGCAATAATTTGTTATAATGTTTGAATTAATCAGTAATATTGTGTAGTATGTTTACCGCAATGACCCTGATCTCTGATTTGTTTGATGGACTGGCACTCTGGCCACTGGTCTCTGGAGTCAAACTGATCGGGTATTTCATCGATCAGATCGGTGTCAGACGTGCCATCACTGAGTGGCCGAGCGTTTGACTCGTACTGACTATTAGAGTCCATCATAGCGTTCAAACCCATTGGAATGAAATTATCAAAGTTTTTGCCAGCCTTTAAAATATACAATATTTTATTTATTAAGTAAATAAATAATAATACTGTATAATGATCATTTTTCCATAAATGTTATGATGGCATTAATTTAATCCATACCTTCCATGTGGTGTTTAAACTATTTATATATTCAATCATTTGGTCATTATTTCTCTTAGGGGTCGGCGATTGATATGAAATTTTTATTATAATAATAATCAATAGTATATGAATTAATTTGGCCATATTATTGTTTACTATATGTATTTAAAATTAATAAAATTTAATAATGATTTTTGTATTTGGTATAATTTAGCAAACTTATATACTGTACCATTTACTTATCACACATTAAATAATATTTTATTGATTAGTTATTACCCATAAAATAAGTAATTATAATCTACTATTTATCCTGTTAGTTTTAGTGCATGTGTTATTTTGAGAGCAAGGATTATCATAATGCATTATCATCATTAAAGTTAACATTAAATGAGATTAAATTAAATTTTGAGATTTTCCAATGCTTTAGCGAGTAATTCAAACAGTATTTAATTAAAAATTACTGAATTTAAATTAGATATTTAAATGGAGACATTATTTAATTTTAAGTAATTTTCTTGTCTTCATTAAATATACGTAGCAATAGAATTTAGAATCACAATTTAATTAAACCAAATATGGGTGCAAACTAATAATTGATAACACACATATTTCTATGAAAATAATTACCTATATGTTTGGCAATAATTCTCATTAAAATATATAGATTAATGGTTATATACATGGCGTTACCTTTTAGATATATTTTGAATTTTCATGTAAAGTTATGTAAACTTTACCTTATATTTTATTAAATAAATATTTCATTTGAAAATGTCTTACTTTATTTATTAATTTGGAAATTTTTATTAAAACACATTTTAACATTAAAATAAATATTCTTGATTAAATAATTAAGATGCAAATATAATATATTAAATAATTATTAATTAAAAATAAGCTATATAAAATAACAGTACAAATTATAATTATTTACTGCTCTATTGTAAAACGAAAGATATTTGTAAATTTTGAATGTAGGATTGTATAATAAAAATTTATCATATTACATTTACAAAAATTACAATTATGCTATATTTGCACTTTATTTAATTAGCAGCCTGTAAAATGAGTAGGATGATTCAAATCTTCTTGGCCAGAACGGCAAAACAAATTAGTTGTACTCAACCCCTCACTAATCAGCCAATAATTATCGCACGAATTGCAGTCAATCTCAACACCAATACTACTATCAGTATTAGTGGTTAATAATGGGTAAAATATTGACTCTTTTAAAACGGTTACGTGATTGTGTTGAAGAGATATGACCAGGGCTTGTTTGGTGACCGGTGCCAGAGAATACGGGTTACCCGTAAAGGACCAGTCGTTCAAATGATTGTAACCTAGATCAATATATACTTGATTGTCTAATTGTCCGCTTGATTTAAGGTCAAATGCCAGGTCACCGACGCTGACAATCCTATTGCCGGTCAACCGTATGCGAAAGAGCATGGGCAAATCACGGAACGCCATGCTTTCAATACTTCTCACCTGACCATCATTAATGTGTAATTCTTCTAAATTGACCAGAGACACAAACGCGTTGCTCGGTATGACGTAAATACTAGTGTTGGTTAAGTATATTTTGCGCACGTGTTTCAACGTGTTTAACGCCACGAATAGGTCATTACGCGGGCCTTCGTGTAGAGGTGTGTTACGGATTGCGATCACATTGATGTCGAGCGCAGTGCCGTTGAATGCATTTGAATGTATGTGTCGTAAGTTATAAGCGTTTTCAATAATAACGCGCTTAAAACGTAAGTTTGCGAATACGTTTGGCCGTAACTGTACTATAGATGTATTGTTGATGTATAGCGTGTCGAGTACTGTGTCGTGTAAGGGATGATTCCAAACATATACATTTGAATTTAGTGCCTGGTCAAATTTCTTTAATACGGTCTCAAGCGTTAGGTCGGTTAATGATTGGGAATCGCAAATGACCGTGGTCTCATTGCTACACCAGCATGGTGCTATGTCTATTCCACCGATGCAAGCAGACTTCTGTGAACTGTAAACCGATCCAGATGCTATAATTGTTTTAAATTATATTAATTATGTTTAATTATTTGCTTAATTATAACTCACCTAGTAGAATAGTTAAATATATGTAATATTTAAACATGTTAAAATTTTTAATCCTATATATTAATTAAATTATGTTTGTAAACAAGGCGCAAAACAATTGCCGGATATCTCGAGACATTGTTGGAAATTAATTTAATTTATTTTTTACGGAGAGTGTGTGGGAGTGTGCTGGGAGTGTATGGGAAAGTGTTGTGAGCCTACTTGAGAACACCGGGAGGCTATGGTAGAGCACAGGGAGGCTATGGTAGAGCACAAGGAGGCTATGGTAGAGCACAGGGAGGCTATGGTAGAGCACAAGGAGGCTATGGTAGAGCACCGGGAGGCTATGGTAGA